ACACACACACACACACACACACTGAATCACGTCTGCATTCACACACAGAATATCTCTCATGATTAAAGCGTCTGCCTAAAAATACCCAGAAGAAGAAGAAGAGCGAGGAGAGGATCTGCGGGCAGTGTTAAAGAGCTGATCACACACACACACACACACACCGATACACTGATAACTCGAGTTATCACACACACTGATACTCTGATAACTCATACCTATAGAACAAACCCGTTGTCCCGGTGAACATGCAAACCACTATCCAGGAGAAGCAGGTCATAAACAAGAGCTCGTAATGTGAGATGGATCTTCTACCTCGTCTGCACGTTTCTAGCTTTATCTCCTGCCCTCAACGCTTTTTTAAATGGCTATTAAGCATAATCACGTTACAACGCTCGATTACTCCTCATGACAAACACAAAGGAGATTAAAAGAAACCGCTTCTGAAATACTGTTCAATTCCCACAAGGTTCAGTTTCTTAACATTCGTTAAACATATTAGTTAACATGAACTCACAATAGTTTTCTTAGTTAATCTCAACATTTACTAATTCAATTCAGTTCACATTTATTTCTATAGCGCTTTTCACAATACACATCGTTTCAAAGCAGCTTCACAGAAAATGCAAAATGAGTCCAATAATACATTATTAAAAACAAGATGTCTCTGTTAACATTAGTTAATGCACTGTGGACATTTCTATTAACTCACTGCTGTAGAAATACACTAGTTAATGCATTAAAGTCACAGGTTTGTACACGAGAACCAGTCGACGATCACGTTTAGTTGAAGATCTCTTTCTCACAGGTGTTTCGCTGGAGTTATGAATTATGCCTTGTGTTTTAGAGTTAAAGGAAATGTCAGTAACTCGACAGATATTGTCCTCGTGTTTTCCCACAGACGAGCTTTAATCAGTGTGTGTCTGTACATTATTGTCCAGCGCTGAAGCTCTGGCTCCTTTAAGCTGCTCTGCTGGTGTGTAACGTCCCGTGGCCCCTCACACACACACACACACACACACACACCAGCAGTGTTTCAGCCTGAAACTATGGCAACAGAATAAGAAAGCAGTCGCCATGATTAATAGATGAGAGAGGCAGAGCCAAACACCAGGCCTGGGGACGAGACACATGCACTGTCCCTCTCTCTCTCTCTCTCATGTACCAGCATGTGGAAAACTTGCCGAAACACACACACACACACACACACTAACCCGACCCCAAAACCTACCCATCACACACAACTTGTACGTTTTTACATTTTCAAAACAACCTCATTCTGTATAATTTATAACCTGTGTTCCTCACAAGGAAAAGGATTTGGATATTACCATCATGCACACACACACACACACACACACACTCACACACACTCACTCAAACACACACTCAGTGTCCTCATCTTCTCAGTGTTTACAGTGTTTCATCATCTCGGCTCAGACTCTCATTGATCTGGTGTCTCCGCACCCTGACCACCGGAGCCGAGAGCTCAGCCTCAGCCGAGTGTGTGTGTGTGTGTGAGATCATGAACACGGTGATGATGACCCGACGACACGACCTCTGTCACTCTCCCGGACACCCCTGAGTCTCGACTCACGACTCGAGTCTCAGACCAGTACACACATCAACTAACACACTCTTATTAATAACATACAGAATAACAAACACACATAACACACACTTTACAATACGGCCTCATGTATTGGCAATAGTTCCTGCATGAGCTGATATACTCGTACAGCATGCATTAACCAGAGGTCACGGAGCATTAACTAATGTTCAAACAGAAATGCGTCAGTAACGGTGAAGTACGAGTAATAGACGCTGCAGAAGTGAGTTCATGAGAACAAATATAAACTAAAGTTAAACGGGGGTTTTCTAACAGGAGCTTCAACAATCAAACTCTAGAAATCGAAGGAACGCTGAAATAATAATCACGTAGAACGACGTTTTCCAGCTTCAAACACACTTGCACTATAATCCACTTAAACGCTGGATTCCCGATGTGTGTGTGAGCTCATGCATTACACATGCGAGTGAATCATGGATGAGGAGATCCAGCGTTCCTGAGCCGTGATTTACACTGCGCTCCTTTAACATAATTGAGTGCAATTCATTAATAATTCAGGCTGAGCGGATCCTCCTGGCCTTGACTGAGAGAGAGTAAACACACACACACACACACACACACTCGCTGGTGTGACCAACAGCCATCAGTCGCGCTCGTCCTCGGCTTTGTGTTGGTCAGATTCCCCTCATTATAGTCCCATCAGAACACACTAAACCCCCCGCCGTCATCACACACACACACACACACACACACACTGTTCAACCCTTCCCTGATCGCGGACCAAAAAAATGCTGGGTTGTTTCAACCCAATTTGGGGTCAAATATGGACTAACCCAGCCATTGGGTTACATTTTCTAGTAATATTTTAACCCACCGTTTGGGTTTGTCCATATTTCCCCAAAATTGGGTTGAAACACCCCAGCTGTGTTAGGAGTGTATGAGGGGTCTTCACTGAAAATAAACCAGTTGAAACGATACAGGTGTGTCATTGTAAAACTGTGTGTACACTCAGTTGTTTTAACCCAACTTTGGGTCAAATATGGACAAACCCAAACGTTGGGTTAAAAAATGTAATTAAAAATATTAACCCAATGGCTGGGTTTGTCCATATTTAACCCAAAGTTGGGTTAAAACAACCCAGCAATTTTTAGAGAGTAGGATCCTCACTCAAAGTGTTGCTGGGTTGTTTTAACCCAATTTTGGGTTAAATATGGACAAACCCAGCCATTGGGATAAAGATGTCATTTAAAAATGTAACCCAATGGCTGGGTTTGTCCATATTTTACCCAATGTTTTAGAGTGTACGTACGCCAACAAATATCCCGACTGATAGAGGCGTGTCCGGCAGATCCTCTATAACCCACAGGAAGAGTGTGTTCACTGCCGTGGCTTTGGCTTGTGTAGTTCGAGACATTTAATTATATTCAACAATAGTTTTGATCAATCTTCAGGTGGACGATGACGATATTCTCTTCTAGAAACACGTGTGTATTATTCTCCTGTTATCTGTGAAGCTGCTTTGACTCTGTATTGTTAAAAGCGCTGTATAAATAAAGCTGACTCCCGAAATCACCATCTCTGAGCTGACAACACCTCTATATCCTCATCTGCATATTCATATCCATCCATGTTTAACGGTACGAGACATTAGGAGAATATGAGATACGGATGTGTGTCACAGTGCTAACACTCATTTAGTCGTTTTTGAATAAATAAATCAAATATTATAAAATACATTTCAAAGACGTTTTTCTCAATCTTTTCCACTGACCAAACAGTATTTCTAATTGATTTACTGGAATATTTTTAATGGAAATGCATTATTGATCATTATTTGTGTGTATATTTCCTCAGATCGAGTTCTGCTGTTATTATGCGCTGACCAAACATACTCATATTTATATTATTAGAATATAAAAAATGTAACTTTTCATGTCATTTTAATGTAGGTGCTTAACTCCATTATTTAATCTAAAATGTATATCAGATATATGAAGAGTTCAGATGCAAAAGCCTCTAAGTGCCATTTGAAATTTTCTTCTAAAATGATCATTTTTATCGAGCTTGTACTTGTATTTTTAAGTTCAGTAATTTCACTTAAATGGCAATGAAGGTTACCTATTAATTGTCATTTAAGTGAAATTACTGAACTTAAATATACAAGTACAAGCTCGATAAAAATTGTCATTTTAGAAGAAAATTTCAAATGCCATTTAGAGGCTTTTGCATCTGAACTCTTCATATATTTATATAGTAATGAAATGCCCCTCATTACAGGACGCAGTAAACCCCCGCTGTCGTCTCGCTTGACCTCACAACATCACCCGACTCTCTCTTTTCAACAGAACACACACACACACACCGTCCTGAGGACTAAGAACGAGCCGGAGCTCAAACAAAACATCCGACCCAGGTCTCTGCACACATCTACAGATCTCAGACTCGTGGTGTGTGTAATAAAGCTGAGATCGAGTCGTAGCTGGCGGAAACACACTCGTGTTCCAGATCAAACTGTATCCTGATAGTTGAGGATCTCGGTGGGAACGCTGGCCGTCTGCCGGATCGCAGGGAGAACAACACAGAACCGACAGCAGACAATCAGATTAAGCAACATTACTGTATTCTGAGCCTCTAAATCAGAGCGTTCGCCGCTGAGAACCAGACTAAATGCCCAGACACGGACACACCCTACACGACCCCAGGGGTCAGGGGTCACGGACACACCCTACGACCCCCGGGTCACGGACACACACGACCTCCGGGTCAGCACAATACCTGTTACACGCTTAAAAACTAATTACGGCTCTTTATTGCCATTCCATGAGGACAAAACTAACATCACTGGAACCACTAAAGGCTCTTCATGTGGGAAAGGTCTTCGGAGTATTAAACTGGTCTTTGTGCTCTGAAGAGATGCTTCTTTAAGAACTGGGATCCAGAGATGCTGCTTCTACGACGCTAGTTCACCCGCTATTCTGTGTCAGTGAAACACACGCTGGAGAATACAGTAATAATACTGAAAAACTTCAACCATCATCATCTTCATATTTCATACCTCCGTCCATTCATAACTGCGCTTCAGAACAATTACACACGCATTACACTGCTATGACATTAAAATCGTTTAAAACGTTTAAATCACGGGGATGTTGTTCTCATATTCAGCCCTGCCTGACTTTAATAACACACTGATAGGCTAATTAATGAGTTTATGATGCATTAAACACACGGACGGCGGTAGAAGTTTAGCGGAGTGACGTCATAAACCCTCCGCGCCTTCGATACAAAGTAACGCGGGAGGAAAATAAACAATAACGTTCTAAACATCATCATCATCATAATCATCATCAGTATAACCCTGATCAGACGCGGCGGCGCGCGCGATCATATGGAAGCGCAGCGCGCGCTCAACTCTATTCTCTGTTATACATACCGCGTTTGACACGTTCCTCACATCGATAGATCCATCAGAAATCCCGATCACAGCCGATCACTGATCGATCAATCCGCGGGAATATCACAGAAACAACGACACGAACAATGAGCGGCTCATTCAGCTACACACACACACACACACACACACGGGCGCGAGGCTGCTCATCCTATTAGAGATGAAGCTTTACTGAGCTGAGCTCACAGCAGCTGTCTCACACACACACACACACACTCAGGGAGGAGCCTCGGTCTTCTGCGAGCTTTTGTTTCATCGGAGCTGCTGTCAGACGAGACATACACCAGCACTGTCTGTGTGTGTGTGTGTGTGTGTGTGTGTGTGTGTGTTTACCTCACAATTAATACAGCACAAGCACGTGGAGTTAATGGCAACAGAGCTGAGCTTCATCAGAGGGACTGACAGAAACTGATGCTCAATTTTAGTATTATATTTATGCATTATTTTCTTTTTCGTTTACATTGATGGAGTATTGATTTCGAATAGCCTAAATAAATATTATTTATGAGCATCTTTCGTTTCATTATAGACCGTTAAAGTCAAAATGGATCTTTCTAATTTTTTTGGAATCTTACAGTGATTTATGAATTATAAATGATTTATGAGTGTGCTGTCAATAATGTTGAATCAGAATCAGTTCCTCTTCAGCATCTCTGATGATGTGGGCGGGGCAACCTGTCACTCACACGAGATCAGCCAATAGCAGACCACAACCATGCAATCAACTCCCCACAAACACGATCAAGCCCCGCCCACATGTGTTCCTGTTCCAGAAGCGAATCAGATAAAGTTAGTTTTTATTCAATTCTGTTGTAAAGATCATTAGTGATGAACTTATGGGCCGCTAACCCGACGCCGCTCTACTGAACACAGAAACTCTAATGCGTTCAGTCATTCACACACAGCAGTGTTGTACAACAGGTTCACACATGCTCTAGTTTGATACACTGTTTATTTAGAATTAGGTTATGTTATAACATTTTATTATTACATTTTTTTAAATGTTTTTATTATTATTATATGCATTCCAAGCTTTGGCAATATTGTATCATTTACAGTCATGCCAATAAAGCAATTTTGGAATGAATTGAGAGACAGAGAGAAAAAGAGTTGAAGTGTGTGTGTGTGTGTGTGTGTGTGTGTGTGTGCGTGAGAGAGAGTGAAGTGTGTGTGTGAGAGAGTGAAGTGTGTGTGTGAGAGAGTGAAGTGTGTGTGTGAGAGAGTGAAGTGTGTGTGTGTGTGTGTGTGTGTGTGAGAGAGAGAAAGAGAGAGAGAGCGAGAGAGGAGGTGAAGTGTGTGAGAGAGAGAGGTGGAGCGGGGCGATCGGGGCCTCCCGGTCTTTGTGTGTGTGTGAATCTCCTCTCTGGTGGTCCTGTCATCTCAGATCAGAGTGACCCCCGAAACACTCCTTCACACACACACACATCTCTCTCTCTCTGCATGCGAGCAAGTTTACGCTGTGTTGTGTGTTTCTGCTGTGGTTTATAATGCTGTGTGTGTGTGTGTGTGTGTGTGTGTGTTTCTGCTGCATTATTACTGTCAGGATCTCCATCAGATGCAGTGATTACAGGGAGTAGCTCTGCTTTAATGACCGTTCATCACACCGCCCGAGAGGAACACACACCACACACTGATCATGAGTGTGTTTACACCATAATACTACCCAACGTGTGTCTTCCCATTTCTTTCATTTGTGAAATTCACTAGAAAGAGTAAAAAGTATCGGAGTAATTTGAATAATTGGATATTTTCTTCATTAAAGTGTTCACGAAACGCTTCGTGCCAGAAAGAGTTAATAATGAAATTCTTCCCAAAAATTACCATAAACCTTAGCAAAGTGCTTCATAAGTGATTCAAAAGGATGTTGCATGATAATGATAAAGTTCTGGGACTTGTACATCATGCACACAAACACCATCATGAAAATAATGATAAATAAACGTGTTCTTTTAATACTTGCAAAGGGAAGATGAACAGTATTTGACTGTGATGGATGTGTGTTTAGTATGTACTGTACAGTTACTGTAACTCAGCTTCAGTTTCATCGTGTTATTGAGTGTTTTATGTGCAGCCAGGCAACAGAATCCTGTGATATTTGATATTCACACAACAGAAGTGTTTATGTTGGCGCACAGCTTTATAAAGTTATGATATACAGTCGGATAGACAGAAGTAAAACATTACATTACACAGTATAATATATTCTCCTCAGTGTTCCACTCATGATTCAGTCTTATGGACTGTCCAGTAAAACGTGACAAATCAAACACACTTTCTGTGAAGAGACTAATCATACCTTGTACAGTGTTTTCATGACGTCATGATTACCGTGAGGCTTCTCCAGACTGCAGGCCTGTGTTCATCATGGCTGTCATTGAGGAATTTGAGGGAAATGTCATCTAATATCCAGTGTTTCCTCTCTTCTATCCTCCCGAGTCTCTCCTCTGCCAGGTTTAGTGATCAAATATTCATGAGAAGCGGGACTTTTGCTCCAATGAGGTTTCAGTGTGGGCGGAGCCACCTGCGCACCGCCGCGCGTCATCAATTGTATTTAAAGGGTAACTAAACCCCTGGTCAGAGCCTGACTCCACCCACTAGCAATATTTGAAAAATGCTGAAAAAATGGGCAGACCCCAGCGGGGCTAGGGGGCGTGCACCTGAGACCCGCCGTGAGTGACAGCTGCTGTCAGACTCTAAAATAGAGCGAGACTAGTCTGGAGTGACTCAATAGCTGCCTTTGCAACAGAGCGGCCATTTGAAGTCGAGGACTTTTCTCCCTCACCTTCACCTTCACCTGAAGTGGATGAGGGTGAATTGTATGTATACACAGGGCCAAATCCATTCGAGCTGCTGGCTCAAACTGCGGTCTTAACTCCCGCATCGCGACCGGCATCTGATGACTTATGTCGTCGAGTTGATCTCAATAGCGCACGCTATTGATATTATGCCGCTAAATGAAAAAATCCAGCAAAATGCACCGGCTCGTTTGTCGACCCTAGAGGATTAACTTTATCCTAACCATAAATTGTGATTAAAATATCCATGATCACTCACATCAAGACGCCGCTGCGGTGGAGGAGTCCATGCAGGACGAGCAGTGTTTGGCACTGCGTGTGGAGAAGCCCATGTCCACCTCTATTCCGTTACTATCCTGATCACTGTACTAAACACTGATAAATCTATGCTAACTTGAAGCTATCCTAACTGTACTATGCTACTAGCTACACAAAATAATCTAAATTATCTATATAATGCTATGCTAAATAGATGCAACAATACTCTATCCTGGTCGTTTTCAAAAATAATCTAAATAACTATATAAATGCTATGCTAACTAGATGCTATTATATGCTATAGTATCCTGATCGTTTTCAATATTCATAAATCCAACTCCTGACTCGCTACAGTAGTTTTGACGGAACCAGATGCTTTTATACCAGGGGCTGCCAAGGGCGTGGTGAGCTCGCACCAAGGGTGTGACAGAGTGCGTCTGAGAGTTCGCTACGTCAGCAAGTACCCCTACTGCAGGAGCTTTCCGTTTAACCTGAAGAGGGCAGCACTCAGACGTTTTTACACCATATATTTGAAAATCAAAACACTTTATACTCAATTGTCAAAAAATGTACTCGAATCAATGAACAGCATTTATGAAGCTCCATTCTTACAGATCATTAACTAAAAAAAGTTGTTTTGGTGTTTAGTTACCCTTTAAAGTCCCCGTGAACCGGAAGTTGCAAACGATTTTTCTCCAGTGCTGTGACGTATTTCCAAGTGAAACGGAATATTGAACAGAGGGCAGGGTTTGACTCTAGCGCTCCTCCTCTCCATCTCTCGCTCATAGCAAACTAACGGTTTGAGGGGAGTGGTTAAGCGTTTCCCCACCCAAACTGTGAAACCTACGTCATCAGAAAAAGGAACCGTTCCAGACCGGAAGTAACTTTTCAGATTTTGATTAAAGATTACCAAGGTAAAACATTTTTTAAATATATTTTTACTTGCACGGATTAATTGTTCACCACAAGACTAGTAATATGCGCTAACAAAGTAAATAGGTTCAATTTTGATTTCACGGGGACTTTAAAAAATGAGTTCTTGACAGTTTTATTTGGAAACCGTGATACACTAGCATTAAAGAATTGTTCTAAGAAACATTTAAAATAAGAGCTATTTTATTAACCAATGAAACATTACAGTAAACTGAACATTATAAAAAAGAAAAGTATCTTACAAAATATTTTATTTCAGATACTGTAAATGCGTTTTTTTTTACTCTTTAAAGAATCCTGATAAATAAAATGTCACAGTTTCAACATTGATAATACAGTAATACAGTAAGAAACGTTATTGTAATAATGAGCACCAATATCTGATAATAAATGAGCACAAACATAACATTAAAATGATTTCTGAAGAATTATGTGACACTTAGATATAGATAGATAGATAGATAGATAGATAGATAGATAGATAGATAGATAGATAGATAGATAGATAGATAGATAGATGGATAGATAGATAGATAGATGATGGACTCTTCTGAGGGCAGAGCTGTATTAGACAGTGACAGTCGCAGGTTCAGCTCATCTAAGGAGCAGCTGCTCATCACTATTGCGTGTGTGTGTGTGTGCGTGTGTGTGTGTGTGTGTATGTGTGCGTGTGTGTGTATGTGTGCGTGTGTGTGTGTGTGTGCGTGTGAGAACAGGAGCTGATGAGGCACTGCTCTGAAAGGTTAGATGTAGGTAAACCTGCTGGTACAGTGACAAGCACTCACAGCTCCTGTTGAATAAATCATTGCAGCGCTGGCTCATAGTGCTCATCTATATTTCACCCGTTACTTACTGGCCATGCGAGCGTGTGTGCAAGTCCAACATTATCTGACTATTCAGAGCTCACATTTCTTATGCATCACTTCCTGCTGCTAGAAAGACCGTTTCTGTGTTGTGCTCGATGACCTCAAATCAGGACACTTGAAGATCCCGCATGAAGAGACCCGGACGAGTCCTGATTCACCAGCAGATTCCTAGATCATCTCTGGCCTGTGTGTGTGTGTGTGTGTGTGTGTGTGTGTGAGAGACGTTTAACAACACTGACAACAAGTCAGTCCTTCTCCAGACTCCATTGTGTTTGTGCAACTGCCTGATTGCTTGTATTGTTATAAAATGTAACTATGTTATCGTTCGGCTCTGAATGCAGTTTATAAGGCATGAAGATATTAAAGGTGACATATTACACCCCTTATCACCAGATGTGATATAAATCACTGTCATCCCCAGAATGTGTCTGAAATTTCACCTCAAAATACCAGATCATTTATTATAGCTCCTCAAATTTGCCTCTTTGTGTGTGTGTCCCTTTAAATGCAAATGAGCTTTAGCTCCGCCTCTGTTTAGAAGAGGGTGGAGCTTCAGAGACTCCGGCAATAACAGCACAGGCGGATCTGACTGATCCAGGATCAGGAGTAACAGCAGCTTTAGCTCCGCCTTCCGGAGAGACTCACTGTTACACGCTTCTGAATGTTAGCGGAGACGTTTGTGTAGTTGTTGTGGAGTTACACTGATCATCTCATCATCATGTTGAACTCTTCCACAAGTGTCCACAGATCCTGAGTCAGTGTTTATAAGACAGCGCTGGTCACATGATCTGCTCAATAGTGTTCAGTGTCGTCTGTGCTGACCTCAGAACAGTTTCAGGCTCAGCTGGATCTGGCTCTGTTGGTGTCGCCCAACCCAATGTGTGTGTGTGTGTGTGTGTGTGTGTGTGTGTGTGTGTGTGTGTGTGTGTGTGTGTGTGTGAACGTGCAGATTGCGGGCCGGGGATATTATATTAAGATCCTCTTCATACGTCAGAAACTCTGTGGTTTCTCAGTGTGAAACTCTATACTGTTAAAGTGCTGCATAAATGAAGGAGACTTGACTTGACTCGAGATTTGATTTGTTACGAAACACACAAATGTTGTCAATATAAAATATGAATATAGTCGCACTGAATAATCAACAGAACAAGTTCAGCTAAACTTCATCGCTGGATAATTGATGAATAAATGAATGAATGAAACACAGCTCAGTGTTTAAGTGTGTAAATATATTCCCTTCTCCTCATTAAGCGAGCTGTGTGTGTGTGTGTGTGTGTGTGTGTGTGTGTGTGTGTGTGTGTGTGTGTATTCAGACTCTCCTCACGCTGATGAACACAGTCCTCTCTCACCAGTGGAAAACAACCCCGATTCAAAAATACTCTTTGGTTAGACTGCAGCTCGTAAATGATCCTGACACTGCAGGTCTGATTGGTGTAGGTGATCCTCCTGTTCCTGGATCTGCTGGAGACGCGCAGGAAAAGGTGCAGTAACTGGGATATCCGTGAACTCCCCGCTCTTCCTCCCATTGTTCCCACAGCCGCTCACCTCAAACGCTTCTCCTCCTGAGCGAGAGACGGGGACGAGGAGAAGCCTCACGATCTGAAGACAAAAGCGAAGAAGGCCTCACACACACACACACACACACACACACACACACACACAGCGCTGGTGCCCTGCCAACAACACAAGATCTGAGAATCTCTCTCTCTCTCTCTCTCTCTCTGAGATGTTCAAAGGTCTGTGTATTAAAGGATACAGATGGTGTGTTAGCAGCACAACATGGCCTACGCTTTTTCCTCTCCATGCTTGTTTTTCCTCCTCGGATTATGAGTTATGTGTCATTACGTATGATTGTGGTTTTCTGCAGTGCGTTTGTAAATGATGTTCCTCATCAGACATGAGAGAGACGGGCTGGGCCCGAACTCAGGCGGTCTCTGGACCTGCAGTCTGTAATTACTGGAGTCACACACACACACACACTTCAGCTTCAGCTATATATCAGGGGCCCGTTTCAATAAGGAGGTTCAACCAACTCTCAGTTAAAGCTTGAACTTTCAGTTGACTGACCCTGAGATGGGAAACTCTGAGTTTTCGGTTGCAGAACAGCTGAAATGAGTTAGTTCAATCAACTCTGAGTAAAGCGCGTGCACCACAACTATAAAAAGCCATTATCAATGGAGCGCAGATATTATGAGTCACCATGGCAACAGCGCCAGACAAAAGGAGGTGTTGGGTGTAATTAATTACCAAGTTACCTAATCTAAATATTGTAATTTAATTAAAGGAATTACTCTTAATTCTTCTGTAATTTAAAATAAAATATGATGCAATTACTTTAAATAGGCTATAAACTATAGACCAATTCAGTATAAAACAATATGGATTTAACATACATTTTTAAAAGGTATATTTTTATGTAACCTCCTACCCGACTGTATACACACTTTGATCAATTCAAGAATAATTCATGCAATTGTAGATTGTTAATTTGAAAGCTCACACTTCCTCTTTAAAAAGGGGAGGAGACTGCAAGAAACTCTGGGTTTACTGAAGAAAACCTGCTCCCGACCAGGTTAGGTTACCATGGTAACTGACTCTGAGTATAAGTTACCTCTCTTTCAGAAACGGGCTTGACTTACTCTGCTTTCTCGGGTTTAACTTACCTCCCTTTCTGAAACAGAAAACCCAGAGTTTCAGGGTTAACATACTCAGAGTTTTCACATAACCTCCTTTCTGAAACAGGCCTTAGGAGTCTTTCCATCATGAGTGTGTGTGTGTGTGTGTGTGTGTGTGTGAACGCTCAAGGCAAACGCAGATCTCTATGTGAGAGGCAGATGGAGGAAATGTGCAGCCATGGGATTTTCCACATGGATTTCTCTGCGGGTTCCTGGATTTGGGAAACAGGATTAGTGGGTGTGTAATTACTGTAGGGTGTGTGTGTGTGTGTGAGAGAAAAACACACATAGTTCAGCTTTAAAGAATTCATGAATTCTGTCCTAATTTTAGAGTTCTTGGCTGAGTTGAAATATGAAGCAGATCTTCGAACACAGAACACACTGTTTTAAGACAAACACAAACGCACCAGTGACTCGAGAAACCCTGACACACACACACACACACACACACACTCACTCACACACACACACACACACACACAAACGTACCAGTGACTCCAGAAAAACCCTGACACACACACTCACTCACACACACACACGTCAGCATGGAAACACAGTTCCAGCAGAAACACAACATGCGCTTTAAATCTCTGAATGAAAAGCTAAAATTATGACTTGTATTTATAAATCTTTAAATTATGACTTAAAAAAGTCACATTACAGTCTCATTTATGAATGAAAAGCTGAAGTTATGACACAGCAAGTCATTCATGGATGAAAAGTAGATCTGACACACATGAGCGTTGTGTGTTTGAGTGTGTTGATGGTGAGCGAGCTGCTGCCGCTGATGTCATCGATGCTGAAGAGCCTCGCTCTGGGCAACACGTCACGAGTGTCTCGAAGCGACGGCAGAACACACACGAGGAGACGAGAGCCGGAGAGAAAGAGTTCGTGTTGGAGAACGACAGGAACGTCTTCAGACGAACACAACGAGGCTTCACACGATCACCGGTCCCGAGACGGCCTTCACCAGCGGCTGCGGAGGACATCAACGCCAACCTTCAAAACTACTGCAGTAAAAGCAGAGCGCCGCCGTCATGCAGTACATCTGCCTCTCCATTTACTTTAAACCGCTCTAATATCCAGTATATTATTCATCTCACTATCAGACGAGAACAACACTGAACTGATCTGAGAAATGATCCGGTTCACTGATTATTCCCCATACGGCCAGGAGTGGATTATGAGTCGCTGATGCGGATCCTCCAGATCTGCTGATGAACACGATCGTCTCACACCAGTTTGAGTTTATGATTCAGATTCGCTTCTAAATCCAGATTCAAAACACATCTTTATTCTTTGGTGTTTTTGCGGGTACTATTTTTATATGCTTGTTTTTATTTGACGCTCATGAATATTTCTAAGTTACCAGCTAAAATAAAACACGCTTCAGAGGAAGGAGACCTGCTGATCGACACACTCCTCCTCCTCCTGCTGCGAGTGTGAAGAGCTGATGATGATGATGATGATGATGATGATGAAGGAGATCTCCAACACTCCAGAGACGCTCGAGCGAAAGACTAGAGTCACAAATAAAGACACTGGACTGCAGAGCAACATGAAACATGTTTAATGACATCATCATCAGGTGTGTGTGATCCTCTTCACCATCACACACACACACACACACTCCAGACGCAGGTCACGTGAGCGAGTCCAGCTGCGTCTGAATCCTCTCCATCTGTAACACACACACATACACACACACAGAGAGCGTGAGCGTGTGGCCGCTGATCAGGGATCAGTCGTGTGGGGTTGGCGATCGGATCTGACCTGTGTGTAAAACTCCAGCAGATCCGGGTGACTGAACTCCACACACACGTCCCGCACGCGCTGCAACAGAGGAGACCCGTCACACACACACACTCTTACTGGACAGATCACTTCCTCACACACTGCGCTGGACATGTGACCGGTCAAAGTTCATGATCATATCAATCAAATAATAACCCATCCTGAGACAAACACTTCAGTTCAGGGAAATACAGAACAACTCACACACACACACACACACACACACACACACACAAATGCAGTGTTTTAGTCGCTGCCCAGCCAACATTTGTATGTGGGGCCCATATGGGTATGAAATGGGCTGAAAAATGGGCCCCATGTAGGATTGTCCGCGGGTTACATAATGGCCCCATGTTAATTGCCCAGATAAATTTCATGTTGGATTGCACTTGGTACTACGCCGGACCCAAGTGGGCAACATGCACAAGACCCATCTCGGTCCCAGCTTTAACCCAGCCAATATTTATATGTGGGGCCCATGTGGGTTTGAAATGGGCTGAAAAATGGGCTTTGATTGGGATTGTCCGCGGGTTACATAATGGCCCCATGTTAATTGCCCAGATGAATTTCATGTAGGATTGCACTTGGTACTAGGCCGGACCCAAGTGGGCAACATGCACAAGACCCATCTCGGTCCCAGCTTTAACCCAGCCGATATTTATATGTGGGGCCCATGTGGGTTTGAAATGGGCTGAAAAATGGGCTTTGATTGGGATTGTCCGCGGGTTACATAATGGCCCCATGTTAATTGCCCAGATGAATTTCATGTAGGATTGCACTTGGTACTAGGCCGGACCCAAGTGGGCAACATGCACAAGACCCATCTCGGTCCCAGCTTTAACCCAGCCGATATTTATATGTGGGGCCCATGTGGGTTTGAAATGGGCTGAAAAATGGGCTTTGATTGGGATTGTCCACGGGTTACATAATGGCCCCATGTTAATTGCCCAGATGAATTTTATGTAGGATTACACTTGGTACTAGGCCGGACCCAAGTGGGCAACATGCACAAGACCCATCTCGGGCCCAGCTTTAACCCAGCCGACATTTGTATGTGGGTCCCATGTGGCTTTGAAATGAAAAGTGGGCTCTGTATGGGATTGTCCACGGGTTACATAATGGCCCTATGTAAATTGCCCAGATGAATTTTATGTAGGATTACACTTGGTACTAGGCCGGACCCAAGTGGGCAACATGCACAAGACCCATCTCGGGCCCAGCTTTAACCCAGCCGACATTTGTATGTGGGTCCCATGTGGCTTTGAAATGAAAAGTGGGCTCTGTATGGGATTGTCCATGGGTTCCATTATGGTGCCATGTAAATCGCCCAGGTGGGTTTAATGTAGGATCGCACTTATAAACAGGTGGGCCCCAACTGGGCCACATGCACAAGACCTATCTTGGTCCCAGCTTTAGTTTTTTGTGGGTACTACAAGGTTACTATATGGGCTGAAATATGGGCTTTAAGTGGGTTTGTCCATAGGTTCCATGCTGGCCCCAGCAACTTGCTGGATTTCAGGATTCAGGATTTCTTTTATACAGGATTTCACAGGGCTTTAGGTGGGGCCCAACTAGGAATCATATGCATGTGGCCCAATTAGGGATCATCTGGGCTCCATCTAAATGAGTAGCAACACCACACAAACAAGTTTTAAAGCATTAGAGCACACAGTGATATTGAAATATTTTCAATTTTATTAAAATTATTCATCATCATATTATGCTATATTCTGAAATTCCAGGGACAATATTTAAAGAAGCAGATTTATGTCAGATTAAAGAGTATCTATTTAATACCTATTTGTTAAAATACATATTTTGAACCTGTATTTGACCCAGTCTTTACTGAACATTTGAACAGTACAGGATATAAATTGGTGACAGTTAGAAGAAGCAGCAACTATACAGTACATTTATCAGTACAGCTTACACTGCAGACAGTCATTTGCGCATCTAGACACTCTCCTCCTCCATCTCTTGTCCTGGACTATTTTGAGAGTTCCCTCTCAGTTCCTTGCCAGTTGATCTGTGTTGTCTTCTTAAGAGCCTCTGCAAAACATTTTTTTTTTTTTTTTTTTAGGGATTTTGATTTTAGAAAAATCATGTTACTTACACGTCACAATACCTTATGACAGAATAACAATTTTTACTCAGGATAAAAAAAAAAAAAACAGCAAAAAAATTATATAGGAATGGTGACGGTTTTGGAATGTCACTGGAAGGGCATTTGGGAAATCAATAAAAAACAGTTTATAAAGTATGCATAATAAGTATAATGATTTATGATTACTTTTAAAGTAAAATTAGGAATGCTCCGATCAATCGGCCAGATATTAGGGTTAGGTTAACTAAGTAAGTAAGTAAAAGTTTATTTATATAGCACCTTTCACAGGTACAAGGCAACAAAGTGCCTTACAACAAAAACATTAATATCATAAAATACACACAATAAAAGCATAGACAGTACATGACCATATCATGTAACACAGGTACCTAATTAAAAGCCTGAACAAATAAATGAGACTTTAGTCTGCATTTGAAGGCATCAACAGAGTCAAAAGAGCGCATATACAGTGGGAGGGGGTTATTAAACGCCTTCTGAAGCAAAGCCATGAGTTTGTGTAAGAAAAATATTCGGTAACGCTTTAGATTACAGCCCGGAATGTACTATGTAATTAAGAGGAATTTACAGTGTAACTTTCTGCAATTATAGTGTACCTATAAAGGACTTGCATGTAAGTATATGGGTAAAGTTTTGGGAATAATGGGGTAACAACCAGGAGAATTAAAAATATATATTTATACTGTAAGTATTATAGAAATAAGGGTTACTTATTCTACTATTATGATACAACAGTCTTACATTTGGGAGCAATTTAGCGAGTACATACACTGCAAACCTTTTTGTAAAAATTGTGTATCAATACTGTATAGGCTTTTTTTAAAGGACAGGGTACATATATAGGCATTTATACAATTCTTTAATATTTTTTAAAAAAATTATAGCAAAAGTGCAGATGTTTAAGTTTTGGCTAACATGTTTCAAGGCAAGAAAAGCTAAGACTATTGCATTTTTTTTTAAATACTGGGACATATATTTTGTTTGATGTGGTTACAGGGTAAGTGGTGCTTGTATAATAAATAAAGGTTTCCAAGTCAGTGATATAAAACTGTGTATGTATTTTTATTGTACTTACCCTGTAACTACATGGAACAAGGGGGTAACAAGCACCACCACATGAAACAAGTGTATCTTTCCCCAATATTTAAGCAAAAGTTGCAATAGTTTTCGTTTCAGTGCACTTAAGTAAAAAAGATGACTTTATAAATGCATATGTACCCTGTACTTTTTTTTAAAAGCCTGTAATTTTAGAGTAGGTATTGGTTCACCTTTATTTCAAAAAGGTACGCAGTGTACAATTTTCTGGTGAAATTGCTCCCAAATGTAAGATTGTTATCACAATAGTAGGATAAACACCCTTTAGTCCTTTAATAGTATAAATAATTGTTTAATTCTCCTGGTTGTTACCTCCTTATTCCCCAAACTTAATATATTGTTCCTTTATACTTATATTGTAAGTATGTTATAGGTACACTATAATTACCAAAGGTTACGCTGTTAAATCGCTTTAATTACGCAGTACTTTCCAGGCTGTAATCTAAAGCATTATCAAATATTCATATTTAAAACTTTATTAAATAAAATAACCAGCTTCCGGCCAAGCAAACATACAGATTGCACTTAAGTGTAAAGTGCAACTTATGTGGTTTTAAGTTGATATTTACTCTACACCATTATGCACTACGCTACTTCTGACGTCACAAATTGACCTATGGCTAAGCCATTCAGTCAAACGCGATGAGCAGTGCGCACCTAACCTAATACACTCGGACATTCTCTGCTTCCACGTCCATTGAAATGCATTGCAGTTAGTCAGTTTTCATTAGGTTTTTTTGTCATTTTAAGTTTAAAATGGTCAAACGGTGTGCATGGGGTACATACAACTCCGACACTAGGTTCCCGAGAGACTGGGCGACGGTGTGTATTTCTTTACCCTTTCCCAAGCCACTTCTCAACAGAGATAAGTGTCTGCTCTGGATTAAGTTATGCGATTAAGTCATGCGCCGCGGTAGACCACAACAACAACTAAAGTTAGCCTTCTAGCTGCTTTGTACATCATGTCACTTAGCTTAATTAACGTATCTGTAAATAACCGAGATAACAAATGTTAACAATGTTGTGCTGAATGATTCATGTAAATACTGTAGCACCAAACGGTGATGGCAACGATATGCGGTATATCACGTTTACATTGTGACCTGTAAATTACATTTTTGCCTGGAGCTGAAGCTTTTCATCGACCTTCTCAACAATAAAATTATTAATATAACCCTCCAATGCATAGTTAAGGCCCTTAAGGTGACTTTGAGATGATATATATTTCTGTCTCCAAAAATCACCAATTGCCTCCTGAAAAATGTCTGCCATAGCGCCTGTCCCCGAATGTTGACTGTTTGTCCAAGTGAGTGGAGGGGGCGTGGCTTAGCCATAGGTCAATTGCATAAGTTTGCAAGTAGGCTGCTTATGGCCATTTAGTTGGAAGCTAGTTGTTTTACTTTAAAAAGTTTAAATATGAATATTTTTCAAACAAAATTTTTGCTTCAGAAGGCCTTTATTAACCCCCCTGGAGCCGTGTGGAGTTTATGATGGATGGATGCACTTTTTTGAGCTTTTTTAAACTAATAGTTGCAATCCACTGCCATTACGAAACTTGGAAGCGTCAGGGTGTATTAATAAAACTCTGATTGTATTTGTCTGAAAGAAGAACGTGGGCTAATATACACCAAAGGATGGCTTGAGGGTGAGTAAATCATGGGCTAAATACTCTAATTAAATTATGTAAAATCTAATTTTGAAAAATGTATTAAATTAAGTACAATCAAAACACCTCAAAAAGGTTAATAAATCCATACCGGAAGTGGCAGTACAATGTAGTAGATAAAGAGCAATCCTCCACCAAATTGCCAGTACTCATCTGGATCCTTGGTCAATCTGGGATGGGGTGGGTGATGCGTCCTTAACAATATTAAAACAAAACGTATCAATATCATACCAACATTTGCCATTATAAAACATTCAGAGAAC